AGGAAACAAAAGTAGTAAGTGAAGACTTGCTCACTTTGTTGTTTCCAAAGCAGATCTTTTTTCATGCCATGGGTCAGGATGGAGCTGACCCTATAATGCAGCAGAGAAAGCAAAGCAGCTGAAGTTATGGGCAACTCAGGCTCAGTGTGAAATGGTGATTCATACAAAGTCAAGCAAGTAGAGTGACTGTAATACAAATGAAGACTGAGGAGGAAGAAGAAGTGGGTGCTGAGCAAGGCAGTGTGGTGGTGAGTGGTGAGAACAGGGCGAGATTCAAGGCCACGACTCCTCCCCTGGATGGAGTGATGTTGTCTGGTGGTTCCAGCACAGGAGCCAGGAGCAATGCCCCAACCCAGATCAGCACTGACACTGTAGCTTCTTCAGTGGTCTTGTTTCTCAAATGAAAATATTTTTGCACTTCCCAGGAAAACTCTTCACTCTCTTTCAAAGTGATTCAAGATTCTGAAATGAAAGGACAGAGTGATTTGTAACAGCCGCTTCCCAATATGCTCCCCTGAAAACTGGAGATGGGCAAACAGGCACACAAAAGGCATGTGCATGATGGGTGTTACAGACCCAGGTCTGTAACCTGGGAGGGGAGTGCTCTCCTCTCTGCATCTGATGTGCAACACATATCTATGGTGAACTGCCCTCACTCACCACCATTTTTAGGAGGGAAAGGACAGCCCTGGGCAGCCTTCCTCAGCTTCCTTCCCATCCCTGGTGCTGCAGGTAGACAAGGTCCCTGCTGCCTCCTTCCCAACTGTGTGCTCCAGAGATGACAGAAGCAAAGGGCCAGCTCCTCAGACAGGGAACCAGCAGCAGAAGGGGAAACGAAACCAAAAGGTTTCTGGAGAAAATATTTGTGTAAGTCTTCCACGAGGTGTCAGCAGCAGCTATTATTCATCACAGCTGAATAGAGTGCCTGGGGCTGCCATCCACCTCCTCACATGGCTTGTCCTCACCAAAGGAGAACAAATCCTGTCTAGTGACTGCCAACAGCTCTGCGCCGTGTCTCCCCGCAGGATGACCAGCCTCCGTCCCCAGTCTAACACAGCAGAGCAGAGGGTTCCCCACACAGAGCCAGGACCTCAAGGACCAAAACAATACACTTGCATAATATCCATGACCTAAAGAACTTACCAGCTAAAACAGGACAGTTGAAGCAGCATTACTGCACCTCTTCTACAGACAGAATGCTGGTGGCACAGAGAGATTAAACTGGAGATCAATGATGTACCTGCAGTAAGAGGGCGACATACAGTGTGTATATTCCAGCCCATAACCCCTTGCTGCAAACCCCCAACTCTCCTCATTCCCTACTCCTCTTTGAAGATGTTTAATTTTAGCTAAACAGGACATTAGGCATTTCTCTCTAACTTGTTGACGAAGATCCCAGAGGATTAAAGCAAAGTGGCAGCTCTGCTGCTCCAGCCCACTATGGGTCTGGAGCTGTTGTCCTAACTCTGCTGACCTTTGGTCCTGAGTCTGCCGCCTTTGAGGGGAGACTGGTAAATATTCAGAGTCAAACCCGTGCACAGAATCCTTGCAAGGACTGGAGTAAACCCCATATCCTTCAGCCCTGTTCAAGGATAAGGGATATACTCTTCCCATTTTCATCACATGCTCAAACCCAGCACTAAACATTAACCATGTTCAGTGTGCTCCCTGATACTGCCTCTTTTCATTTGGTTTTTAATTACACCCACAATCATGTCCGTTAAGTCAATATGATCCTGCCCTCAATTTAATGAAAGCCTCAGGAAGCAAATGACGTCTGCAACAAGAAATGGCAGAGCTTTTTCTGTCGTCCCATTACGTAGTTGGGGTTTCCGTAGCATTAAGAGGATTTTAGCTGGTCAATGGCTGGAGAAACCAAAGGATCAAGGTCCCAGATGAGGGTGAAGACAAAAATAGCTCTGAGAGGACACGTCACATTACTCGGAAGGGGTTGCACCAACAGAGTAATCTTCGTCATGTGCCAAGGAACCTGTGATAAGCCCTCTCATAGTCGGATCATTAGTAAGATCAGTTACTTAATTCAAGGTGATTAAAACCAGGCTGGACTTCAAACAAACAAGTCATGCCCATGGGGCTGCACAAAAAATATATATATATCACAAAATTAAAACCTTTCTTGTTTCATCACTAGTGCTGGGCACTCTATAAACAATTTTGGGGGCAAATAAAATCCAGTGTAGCCCACAAAAAGGCTGCCTTTCCTACAAATGCATGTGAAAAACACATTTTGCAAACACGGGTCAGCCTATGGGTTACCCAGCTGTGAGGTTGCAAGGACTCGGCACACTCTGGCCAATTTTTAAGCCAGTGCTAGGCCCAAAGCACCCTATGGTTGTAACTCTTTCCTCCACCTCTATAGGAGCGTTTGGCCTGCGAAAAAAAGTCCCACTTCCAAACCAAAGACATTACTTTCCTACACAAAAGGCAATTTTGCTTTGCAACTGTGCCAATGCCCTGCCTTTGGGCTCCAATACCATTTGGCTTGCCCAGGCATGTGTGGACGATGAGTAAAAATGCTGGGCAACTTGGCTAGTCACTACACCGGACATCCAAATCAATGACAATGTCCTGGCAATGAGGAGCAAAGGATACGGGCTTCATGGTTGCACGTGGCCATCTCCCAGAGCAGGTGGCACACAGAGAGGTGATGGGTACTGCTGCCATCAGCGATGGGTGGCAAGGCACAGGCAGGTGAGGCTGCAACAGACACAAAGGGAGGGCTGTAGAATTATCTATTTTTAAACCATTTCTCTTGATCCCGCACTTTGGTACAAATTGTCCCATGCCTGCAGTGATAGGACGTGACTGATAGGTGAGTGCCCTGGTGACAGCAGGGAGTGGTGAAGCGGCTGCCTTTAATGAGTTTTCACCTGGAATCGGAAATGAGCGGTGAAAGAGGATTTTCCGTGCCGTGGCTGACATCCAAGACGACAGGAGCCGTGGTGGATCCACGGGGATCCTCGGATGACGAATCGTGCTGACAAGCACTGGACGTAATTCTCTCCGGCAAAGCAGCTCAGCTCATGTTATCCTTCTTTTATTCCCTTCCTCAGATGTAGTCACCAAGAGTTTCTAAACATGACACTGGTGTGCAGTATCCTGCCTGGCTCACCCACCTGCCTGCATCCCCTCACGCGGACCCCTGGGGTTTGGTGTGAGCATCACGTGGCAGGGAAGAAGTTACAAAGCAAACCAAGCACAGTTTAAGCATTGTTTCCCCGGCTGAATGGTGGTTCAGAAGAGGCACGACAAAGGGGATGGCTGTTCCTCACCAGCTTCGTGCTCACTGGGGTCAAGGGGAGGGCTGGGAGCTCTGATCTCTCTCCCTGTCACCCCGAGTAGCTTCACAGAGAGGGCTGCAGGGAAGTGGGGCATTTCAGCCCATGTCTGGTGACTCCTCACAGTGTGTGGGATCATAGGTCGTACTGGGATGTATGGAAAGTATCTCCCATTCCAGCCGCAAACAGCAGCAGCTCAGTGCTGGTGAGGGGAATGTTGGGAAACCCCAAAGATGAAGAAACCAGAGCTGTCAGCCATGAACCCATCCATGACTGGCATTGCCCACCTGCAGGGTCTGATCTTTCTGACTGAGCAGACAATGGTTGCAAGCAGGCCAGATACTGGGGTCAAACACACAGTGAGAAGGAGGGAAATGCTCTGAACCCACTTGTGGAGATAAGGGTGGAGCAGATCCCAGGATTCGCTATAAGTAAGGAGGCCTTATGAGAGAGCAGATCCCAGTAATGCAGGCACTTGCTTTCCCAACGTGTGGCTGTTCCCTGTACACACACATTCTAGGGTCAAGGGACTGCAGGAGCCCAAGGGGAGTTCCTGGCACAGGGCTGTAGGCAGTGCTGAGCTCACCCCACACCATGGCCATCTCTTTACCCTTCTGTAGCCAAAACCTTCAAGGCAAATGTCTGGGAGACATATGAGAGGCACAAGTTTAGCAACAAGCACATGTGTGCACACGTGCACCGGCTGAAGGGCAGTGCCAGTGTCAGGCTCCTGCCACGGGGGTGGGCAGGACAAGCCGAGGATTGGCACAGGCCTGTCTGGGCCCTGCCAGGATGGGGGGGGTGTGACACCACCTGCCCTGCACCCATGTGCCCAGGCACTGCACATCTGCAGCCTCCTACGCCCAGGAGCCCAGCTGTCCCACAGGCCCTGTGCACAGGTCTCGCTGTGGCCCAGATGCCACGTGCCCTTGACCCGTGTGTCCAGGCCCTGGTGTGCCCCAGGCACAGACTTAGGACCCTGTGACCCCGGGATCCTATGTTCTCTGCTCTCTTCATCCCTTATGCCCAGAACCCCATACCCCCAGCACCCTATACCCCCAGGACACCATGCATCGTGTACCTGGACTCCAAACCTCTGGGACCTCAGGAACCCAGGACCCCAAGATCCTGTGCTCTCTGCTCCCTGCACCTCTTATCCCCAGAAACCCATATTCCCAGAACACCATACCCCCAGGACACCATGTACCTACACTCTGTATCTCTGGGACCTCAAGAGCCCATGACCTCGGGATCCTGTGCTCTCTGCATCCCTTATCTCCAGGACTCCATATCCCCAGGACACCATTTAACTGCACTCCATACCTCTGGGACCCCAGGAGCCCATGGCTCCCGTCCTGCTGAGACCCCACATCCCTGGCACCGCATGTCCCCAGACCCTCGCGACTCCATGCCCCCAGGACCCCCATGCTCCCGAGTCCCCATGTCCCCAGACCCCGGGACCCCCACGCCCCCCATCCCCGTCCCCCCCCCACCCAGCCCCGGCAGCGCCGCCCCCGCCCCGCGGCATTCCCGCCCCGCCCCCCCGGGACTCCGCGCCCTCAGACAAGTTTCTTGGAACTTTGCCTGGCGTGACGCGCGCGCCGGCGCCGGGCCCCGTCCTCCCGGCGCAGCCAATGGGCGCGCGGGGCGCCGGGGCGGCGGCCAATCGGCGGCGGCCGGACAGTTCCCCGGTCCTGACCGACCTTCACCGCCCGCGCGGGGGGGCCATAAAAGGGCCCCGCGGCGGCGCGCGCCGCTCCCGCCTCCTGCCCCTGCGCTGCGGCGGACACGGCACGGGCGGCACTGCGGGACCGGCGGGGAGGTGAGCGGGGGGACGGAGGGGCGAGGGGTCTCCGTGCGCTCGGGGGGAGGCCGTTTCTCCGTAGCGCACCGGCGTACGGGCGTCCTGCGCGCCGCGGGGAGGCCGTTTCCGCGTACCGGGTTCCCGTGCACCAGGATCGTGGGCGTCCTGTGCGCTGAGCGGAGGCCGTTCCCCTGTACCGGGTGCCCGTGCGCCGGGGACGTGGGCGTCCCGTGCACCGGGATACGGGTGTCTCCTGCACCGAGGTACTGCAGCGGCTCGCTGTGCCCCGCGCCGGCCGGGGGGCGGGCCGGCCAGCCCCTGCCGCAGCCCCGGGAATCCTGTCAGCATCCCGGTACTGACCGCCCGTCCGCTCCCGCAGGGCCGGGCCGATGGTGGGAGGCAGCCCCCGGCGGAGCCCGGCCGCCCGCCATGCCCTGGAGCGTCCGGTGGGTCGGCGGCTGCGGCGCCCAGTCCCAGAAGCAGTGCAAGAAATCCTCCTTCGCCTTCTACCAGGCGGTGAGGGACCTGCTGCCCGTCTGGTTCCTGGAGGACATGCGGACCATGGAGGTCTTCCACTGGGAGGACGGGGGCAAGGTGAGCGTGTACTCGCCCTCGGAGGCGCTGCTGTACGCGCTGGTGCACGACCACCAGCCCTACGCCCGGCACCTGCTGACTAAGTTCCCCCAGAGCGCCCTGGCCGTGCCCAGCCAAAGCTTCAGCTGCTGCCAGTCGGCCCCACACCTGGCCATGGCCGTCCGCTACAACCGCGTCCGGATCCTCTTCCGAATCCTCAAGGCCATCCAAGCCTTCCCGCCGGGCGACAGAGCCGGGCACCTGGACCGCCGAGGCTGCAGCCGCGTGGAGGGCGGCAAGACAGCCCTGCACATGTCCTGCGAACTGGTGCGGCCCGAGTGCCTGCTCCTGCTGCTCGGGCACGGAGCATCGCCCTCCCTGCGGGACAGCGCCGGGAACACCCCCGTCGACACCCTGCTGCAGCAGATCTCCCACATGCCGGCGGCTAACATGCGTGCCAAGCTCCTCTGCCTCGACTGCCTCTTTCTCTTCGTGCCTCAGGACCTCCAGTTTGCGATGAAACAGCAACTGTTGGACAACCGGCAGCAGTGGCAGGACCTCCTGGGGGAGAACAGGTTCCAGTGCCTGGTGGGCTTAGCTCCCCCATCACTGTTTGTCGGAGCCATGCGTGTCTTGATCAGGACCATTTCACCTGAGCATTTCCCAGAGGCTCTGGACAATCTGCCTCTGCCTCATTTTCTAAAGCCTTTGGACTTGAAACTGGAGAGCTAGAGGGGCGGTATGAGAGCCTCCCGCTCACCTGACAGAAATAGACTTGTGCTAAAAGTGTATCAGTATACAAAGCTGCTAATGCAGTGGCCAAGTATCTGTTTTAATGAGAACTGTATTTTTAAAAGAATTATATCTGGCACTTTACAGTATATTTTATTTAAAGACCCTTGTGATGAGGTGAGGGCCATGCTGCATTTTATAAAGATGTTCTATAGCATGTACAAATGAGGGTATGTGGAAGAACATATTTGTAAATACATCTGAATAAACCAGTGGCAGGTGTGATCAAAATACAAATCAAGCAACTGAAAACCCTGGAGTGGCATGTGCCTTGGAAGAGCGTGTGCAGGGTGGGGGAGTATCTTTTTGTTAGGATTTCCCTGTTACATAAGCCTCGCCGTCCTGGAACAGGATGACTCCTTTTTTACAGCTCTCCTAATACATCTTGGCAGAGATGCGGGTTTTTTTTAAAGGCACAGATGAAAACTTCCTCATCTTGTACACAAGACCAAAGAGATGCCAGATACTGTTACAACTTCCCTAAACAAGCCTACCAGAGATGTGCATGTGAACAAAATATATTTTAAAATATGCATAAATAACAGTTGGCTTCCTTCTTAAGTTCTCTCTATTCCTCTTGGAGGACCAAGGTGCTTGTTGTCAGGCAGTGAAGACCTGGAGTACACACAGTGCTCTGGCCAAAATTGCCCCTGCCCTGGCAGGGCTGGACCCTGGAGCCCCTCTGTGTGATTGCTGCAGGGTGAAGAGGATAACACACAGCAGGAGGGCCAACCTGCTTGTGCCTGCTCTCTACTATTCCCAGAGGGATTTAAGGAGGTATGGCAAGGGCCCAGGACTCTAGAGCATGGCTTTTTGGATAGATTGTGGATTCTGGTCCCTCCACTGCCACTCCCCAGCAGGCATAGCTTCAGCTGTCAGCACTGCAGCAGTCTTCATGTCTACTCTGGGTACCAGAGGAGTAGCTTAGATATCCAACCTTCCCCCAACTATCCCTTCTAAGATGCTCCAAGGTACAAAAAAAAAAAAACCCTCACAGCTGCTCCAGATCAAAAAGCCCTTTAAGGGTAATGTCCTGCTTCCAATACTTCCGTTTTGACCAAGCAAAGGGTACAGCTTCAGTTCTTTGCTTTGCAACCTTTACAGCATTCCAGGCAGTCCCTGTAGAACTGGCACTGTCCCTGGGTGCTTTGTAGGGAGCTGTGCCTGCTCCACCGGTACTGCATTGATAGCAATCTCCTAGGCCACAGCACTGGAGCTTTGGCTCTGTTCTTGGAAGTTGTCATTGAAACTGGAGGGTTTTGTTTCAGTGCTTAAATTCATAGCCAAGGAGTTGTTTGCTACTTGAACTATTTCAGCACTGCTGTTCCCTCTGGGGTCATCAAGGAACTGATGCGCTCAGAGAGAAGAGGCCATGTTCAAGGCACAAATGTCTTTATTTGTGAATTAATTTTGGTAAAGGAAAAAAAAAAAAAAAAAGAAAACCACAGAATGAGGCACTATAAGCTGTTCATCCTTCAGCAGAACATAGTGGTATTTAATCTAAAATAATCTCCATACTGCAGCACAATAAAAGATAAGCCATACTTCTGAAATTTGAGAAGAAACAGAAAAAAGATTGCTATTCTTAGAGTAAGGGCACTGAAAATGTTTCCTAGAAGAGCAAATGTTCCTTTTTTCCCCAAGAAACCAAGCTGATATATGCTTAAACTAATTACCATGGGAAATTCAGGTCCCTTGCTGGAAAGCATGGAACAATTGTAACTGTTCTCTTCAGCTACCTTGTGGATTATAAAAATACAGAAATCTAAAGAACTAATCCCTCAGCCACTTACAGAAAAGTAGTAAAGCAGTCAGGTCTAACTTGCACATGGCAAAGTGTTGTGAGGTGGGGGAAGAGACAGAGCTGGGGGTGGGAGGAAATGTTTATCAGCTTTGCTGACAGAGACATAATGCGATTCAGCAGTGGGGAGTTGGTTAGTTGAACTGAGTGCTGGAAGATGCTCCTGCTCCCAAGCTGTGAGGGTAATTACACATTGGAACAGCATGACAGGCTGGGCGGGACATCCTGCACCTTAAAATGAGCCCTTAACAACACATGAATTCGAGGTAAAGGCTGCCCTGTGATTCCCTATGGCCCTCCCACCAGCCCTGGGGTAATTCATTTCAACAAACAAAACAGATCCCCTCCACATGTTTGTGATGGGTCCAAAGCCAGCTAACTGCTGTGCCCTTCCTGTTATTCTGGGACAGAAGTCAGACTTAGTGCTGAGCCCACACCGGGGTTCGCTCTGCTGGAGATCGCAGACGGACCTCACTGCGCGTGGCTCGCTGATGTCTGCGATGCTTCGTCTGGAGGGGCTGAGAGGAACTGTGGGCAAACTGCGCTGGTGACTACACGGATCACTCACCCAACTGGGTCCAGGCTTGTTTTTCAGACAGAGTCACAGCTTGGAAAAAGGCTGAGGCTTCTTGGCTTTGGAAACAGAAGCCCTTTGTTTATACCTCAAGCAATAGCAGCATCAGCTTTCCTCAGACTGACCTGCCAGCATGTCTCTGTCCTCTGCCACCTTTGGAGCACAGTGGAGTGCAGGCTCCACAGCCTGTTCAGTTTTCCATCTCTTGGAGAAGGCTACCAACAAAAGTGCCAATTAGTGCCAGTTGCACCACCACTGACAAGCTTAATAAAGCAAATGTAGACAGGGATTATGTCACTGCAGAAGAGGACTGTGGTGCTAGAGCCAAGGAGCTGGGCCACGAGGATGTAGGAAAGAAGATTCACCAAGTCCTAACACCATGAGAGCACAGGGGTAAGGAGATATACTTAAAAGTCTTACCTGCAAGGTCAGTTCTGTCTTACCTGCATACAAGGCAAATCACTCATCTGTAGGAAAAGCTTTCAAAAGCATGTAATGCAGTATACAGAGCCAGCATTCCTTAAAAGCTTAGTTACAGCCAGTCCTCTAAAAAACTGATTTCTATTATGAAAACTACTTTCTATCATCACTGATGAAATCTAATAAATATTTCCCATGGGTTGCTCAAGCACCTTAAAACCAAAATATTCATATACGACCCACCTTTTAGTACAAAGTGGTTTTATTTGCTGTGACAGGTAAAATAGGCCTGAAACATTTTCATTCAGAAAGCAGGGGGAGAGAGGAAGTACTGAGTTACTTTTAATTTTGACTCTGCAATTGACTCCTCTCTGCTGCTCCCAAAGTTTAGCCTGTCTAGAGTCTGCTGAAGGAGATGAAGTCTACTGTAATTTTGAGTAACTCATTTAAAAGATGGATTTGTGATTTTTAAGTCTTCTTTTACCTAAAATATTAAGTAGTTAAAGAATTCAAACTTATGTAAACACAAAACTAGGTGGTTTAAGCAGTCTAAAAAATCCCTTACTATAACATTTGTCTCTGATATACTGTCCTGCCATACAAGCTGGATCCTTGTCCTTGCCATGGTCACAGCCTGGTATGAGCATTGCCAGAGGTGGGCAGTGCTTAATTTTGGCAGAAGATGCCAATACTAAGCACACCTGAAAAATCACTTGCTTCACAAATATGCACAGTTATGGAATATCAAGCCTAACATGAGCTTCACACTCAGGACCATACAAAGAATATCTGCTGCAAACAGGTAAGGGTTTCATAACAGCTTCACAGGGAAAGAAATGGGGCTGTTAATGAACAGACTCCTTGCAGACAAGCCTTGCAAACTGAGGCAGGCATTAAGTAAAGGAGAAAATGAAGGAGGAAACCAAGCACAAGGCCTGCCAGGAGAAGAGGCCTTGGCCATAGGTAAGGCTGCAATTATAGGCTGGTTTGAAAATAAAGTTCAAAATAGTAAGATCTGGCACAGAGGCACAGAAAGACAGATAGCAGAAATGGGCCAGCATTCCAGGTTTGTTTCCTAATCCCTATTTGTCCTATGTCTGGTGTTCAAGCCATATGGGTTTTTGACTTGCAATATAAGAAATCTATTGACATCAGCAGATCATTGTGCATTGCATCATCCCATCTGGGCAAACAAGGCACCCGTGCCATGTGCTCAATATTTAAAGAACATTGTAAATCCTTGCAAACCAACTTTCATAACACCTAGGTTGGTGGCAGTATTCCCATCACTACTTGGTGTCAGCACCTGTCTGAGGCTACACCACCATTAATTCCCAGCCTGGCTTCAGCAGTCTTTCCTCCTCCGCCTACAACATGTGAAAAAGAAGCTCTGCTTATGAATCGCTCAGACCACATCAAACTGTCCTCTATTATCATGCACAAGAATCACATCTATGGTGCTGCAAGGCTGCTGCTTGCACTGATTTACTCCTGCTCTTTCCACCGTGCAGGTACATTTGCACGTGTAGCACAAGAGCAGAAGGAGCCGAGCTCCCTCACAAAACCTAACTCAGCAGTCATAGCAGAAAACAGAAATATAGTTTGCAAAAAAAAAAAAAATCAGAGATCCTCACTGCTTCTACAAGAAATGGATCCAAGTTTAGCTGGGGTAGAAAGGTTGTCCCCACTTGCCCTGATGACCTCTGAAATTACTGGTATCTCTTTGCCCAGTGGTTTAGTCGATAAATGAAAAAAACAAAACACATAAATCAACAAAGCAAATCTTTAGAATCCTCAAACAAAGAGGAACTCATTATGCTTAGGAATTATTGCTATAGCCAGAAGAGTCCAGTCATCTAATCTCAATTGTGTATGATGCAGGCCAGCAGTTCCCATGTTGGGCTTATCACATGACTGACCGACAGCATCTACTTTAAATTCAACCCTATTTTATAGATTTTTAAACTGTGAAGCATCCAAGGCTCTTTGCAGAACTTGTGGCTGAGCCAAGCAAAGGTCCCATCCAGCTAACCTCAATCTCATCTGTCCCTAAACCCCAAAACATCCCCTGCCATCAACCCTTCCTCCTTATTCTGTAGGAGAAATTATTAATTTCCTAATGCAAATGCGAGAATGGACCAAACTGGATCTGAGTCAGCAAGGAGAGAGGCAGAGACCCAATTCAAAGAAGCAGGGAAGGCAGAGAAGGACTTTGAGCTGTCCCACACCTGGACTTCAGCTCTGCGAGCAAGGTTTCAGCAAGTCTGAGCCAGTAAGTCAGGACTGTGGGTGAGCTCCAGTCACACCAGCCATTGTAAAGTTATTTTCCCTGTACTACAAATCTAATGGGAAACAGTGCAAATCAACACTTCTCCTTCAGGAAAGGATATTAGGCCTGAAAAGCCCAATTCCCCAGTTCAGGCCTGATGCAACCCATTCGGAGCCACGGCAAGGTACCTGCACACCTGGGATGTGAAGGGAGACGATGGGCCAGTCTCCCCTTCCCTGTGCTCCCCAACTAAAGCAAACAACGGCAATAAGCTCCATGGATATGAAGAGGGAGATGAACAAGGCATCGGGGCCAGCCAAGTTCTTCCCTTAGGGTCCCCTGTGGAAAGCAGTGGAAGGAGGCCAAGGGAGGAGAAAGAGACTTCCAGGCAGAAAGCACTTGGCTGCATGCCTCAGCCAGGACAGGGAGCAGCTTCCAGCTCCGAGGGCAGCGCCCTCCCTGCTACTTGGCTCACTGA